CAGGGGACTTTGTTATACTCGATCAGGGGCCTTTATTATACTCAATCAAGGGCCTTTGTTATACTCGATCAGGGGACTTTGTTATACTCGACCAGGGGACTTTGTTTAACTCGACCAGGGGACTTTGTTATACTCGATCTGAGGACTTTGTTATACTCGATCAGGGTACTTTGTTATACTCGACCAGGAGCTTTGTTATACTCGATCAGAGGACTTTGTTATACTCGACCAGGGGGCTTTGTTATACTCGACCAGGGGTCTTTGTTATACTCATTGAAGGGGCTTTGTTATACTCGATCAGGGGCCTTTATTATACTCAATCAAGGGCCTTTGTTATACTCGATCAGGGGACTTTGTTATACTCGACCAGGGGACTTTGTTATACTCGACCAGGGGACTTTGTTATACTCGATCTGAGGACTTTGGTATACTTGATCATGGGACTTTATTATACTCGACCAGGGGACTTTGTTATACTCGATTAGGGGACTTTGTTATACTCGACCAGGGGCTTTGTTATACTCGATCTGAGGACTTTGTTATACTCGACCAGGGGACTTTGTTATACTCGATCTGAGGACTTTGTTATACTCGATCAGGGGACTTTGTTATACTCGACCAGGGAACTTTGTTAAACACGATCAGGGGATATGTTATACTCGATCAGGGGGATGTGTTATACACGATCAGGGGACTTTGTTATACACGATCACGATGCTTTGCTATACTCAACCGGGGGCCTTTTTTATATTCGATCAGGGGCCTTTGTTATACTCGAACAAGGGACTTTGTTATACTCGATCAGAGGACTTTGTTATACTCGTTGAGGGGGCTTTGTTTTCCTCGATCAAGGGACTTTGTAATACTCCATCAGGGTCTTTCTTATACTCCATCAGGGGCCTTTGTTATACTCGACCAGGGGGCTTTGTTATATTCGACCAGGGGCCGTTGTTATACTCGATAAGGGGACTTTGTTATACTCGATCAGGGGCCTTTGTTATACTCGATCAGGGGACATTGTTATACTCGACCAGGGGACTTTGTTATACTCGATCAGGGGACTTTGTTACACTTGATCAGGGGACTTTGTAATATTCGATGAGGGGGGCTTTGTTATACTCGACCAGGGGCCTTTGTTATGCTCCATAAGGACTTTGTTATACTCGATCAGGGACTTTGTTATACTCTCGACCAGGGGACTTTGTTATAACCTGAGTGGGGGCTTTGTTAAACTCGACCTGGGGCCTTTGTTATGCTCGATTAGGACGTTTTTATGCTCGTTCAGGGCCTTTGTTATATATATCAGGGGCTTTATATACTCGACCAGGGGTATATACTCGAATAGGATACTTTGTTATACTCGATCAGGGGCCTTTGTTATTCTCGACCAGAGGACTTTGTTATACTCGACCAGAGGACTTTGTTATACTCGATGATTAGACTTTGTTATACTCGATCAGGGGGCTTTGATATACTCGATGAGGGGACTTTGTTATACTCGATGAGGGGACTTTGTTATACTCGATCAGGGGGCTTTGTTTTCCTTGATCAGGGGTCTCTGTTATACTCCATCATGGACTTTGTTATACTCGATCAGGGGCCTTTGTTATTCTCGACCAGAGGACTTTGTTATACTCGACCAGAGGACTTTGTTATACTCGATGATTGGACTTTGTTATACTCGATGATTGGGCTTTGTTATACTCGATCAGGGACTTTGTTATACTCGACCAGGGTCCATTGTTATGCTCGACCAGTGGCCTTTGTTATACTCCATCAGGCGGCTTTGTTATATTCGATTAGAGGACTTTGTTTTACTCGACCAGGGGCCTTTGTTATCGTCAACCAGGGGACTTTGTTATACTCAATCAGGGGACTTTGTTATACTCGATCAGGGGGCTTTGTTTTCCACGACCAGGGGACTTTGGTATACTCGACCAGGGGACTTTGTTAGACTCGATGAGGGGCCTTTGTTATACTCGATGAGAGGCCTTTGTTATACTCAATCATAAGCCATTGTTATATTCAACCAGGGGACTTTGTTTTACTCGATCAGGGGGTTTTGTTATATTCGATTAGGGGACTTTGTTATACTCGATGCGGGGCATTTGTTATACTCGATCAAGGGCCTTTGCTCTACTCGATTAGGGGACTTTCTTACACTTGATTAGGGGCCTTTGTTATTTTCGATCAGGGGACTTCGTTATACCTGATGAGGGGGTTTTGTTATACTCGACCTGGGGCATTTGTTATGCTCGATTAGGGGACTTTGTTATGCTCGATCAGGGGCCTTTGTTATACTATATCAGGGGCTTTATTATACTCGACGAGGGGGGTTTGATATACTCGATCAGGTTACTTTGTTATACTCGGTAAGGGGGCTTTATTATACTCGATCAGGGGACTTTGTTATACTCGATCAGGGGGCTTTGTTATACTCGACCAGGGTGCTTTGTTATACTCGATCAAGGGACTTTGTTATTCTCGATCAGGGGGCTTTGTTTTCCTCGATCAGGGGACCTTGTTATACTCCATCATGGTCTTTGTTATACTCCATCAGGGGCCTTTGTTATACTCGACAAGGGGACTTTTTTATACTCGATCAGGGGACTTTGTTATACTTGATCAGGGGACTTTGTAATATTCGATCAGGGGAGCTTTGTTATACTCGACCAGGGGCCTTTGTTATACTCGATAAGGGGACTTTGTTATACTCGATCAGGGGCCTTTGTTATAATCGATTAGGGGACATTACTCTACTCGACCAGGGAACTTTGTTATACACGATCAGGGGATATGTTATACTCGATCATGATGTGTTATACTCGATGAGGGGTCTTTGTTATACTCGATCAGGGGGCTTTGTTATACTCGATCAGGGGGCTTTGTTTTCCTCGATCAGGTGACTTTGTTATACTCCATCAGAAGTCTTTGTTATTCTCCATTAGGGGCCTTTGTTATACTCCATCAGGGTCTTTGTTATACTCCATTACAGGCCTTTGTTATACTCAAACAGGTAACTTTGTTTTACTCGATCAGGGGACTTTGTTATACTTGATTAGGGGACTTTGTATCATTCGATCACGGGGGGCTTTGTTATGCTCGCCCAGGGGCCTTTGTTATGATCGATAAGGGGACTTTCTTATGCTCGCCCAGGGGCCTTTGTTATGATCGATAAGGGGACTTTGTTATACTCGATGAGGGGGCTTTGTTATACTCAACCGGGGGCCTTTGTTATACTCAATGAGGGGCCTTGGTTATACTCGACCAGGGGACTTTGTTATACTCGATCAAGGGACTTTGTTATACTCGACCAGGGGACTTTGTTATAGTCAATAAGGGGACTTTGTTATACTCGATCAGGGGACTTTGTTATTTATCAGGGCCGGTTTTAAGCCTATTTGACCAATTTAATCAAATTGGGCGCCGCAAGGGGGCCCCGCACACACGTGTGTTAGTTTTAAACTGTATATGATATTGGTAAAAAAGCTAACGTTAGACACAAAATCATTGTTATTGTCATCAAAATAATAGATCCCAGTCACGTGCGAGAATTTTCTGTTTTGTCAAAAGTCCAAGGGAATTAACTCTGGTGTTGGTCCACACGCCCTGACTTTCATAATAATTTACAGGAGCGGGAAGGGTGCGAGCCAATCAGAACACAGTTTTCACTCTCTCCCAACGCTTGGACGATGTAAGTGTGTCGGGTCTGTATTTTTGGCTGTTTTCAGGGGGAAATACGAGTGATAACGTTGTGCTGTGTATATCAGCATGTCCTGTAATAACCAGTGAATCAGTGATCATCGTCAGACAGTGACAAAACTCCGGTCGTTGCCATAGACATGATTTGAGATGAGTTTTGCAGTGTTGACCTTGAAAATGAGAAGCATGGCCACTGGGTGGCGACCGAGGCATGGTTTGTTTATAATTTTTGTGCTGGACAGTGATGATAATTGTTGATCCTGAGTACATGATTGATAGCGACAATAGCGATGATGAATCAGAAAATGACTTGTGATTCTGAGCACATGCAAGCACATACTATAGCTCTATGTAGGTAACCGAATCTTTGCGTACGTAGCGGTGTGCTATCCATGCCAAAGTGTTATATGTCCGGTTAATGCTTTTTTTGTCCGGTGAAGTGGTGATAAACATTGTGTGGTTTTTATTTTATAGGATCAGTGTTTCGATTTTTTGTTTTAATTATAGCATTCATATATGCACATACTTATTTTTTAAGTGCCAGGGACTTCTCATTGTGAATAATTTTGTTCGTTTTTTCATTTCAGTTTATTATATGTCATTTCTGAAAAGATAATATAAAAAGCCCTTTCATCATGGCAAGCACAAGCAGAGATAGAGGCAGAGGGCGTAAGTATTTAAATGGCAACCAGAAGCGAGCACTGGCAAAGGCAAAGGTGCTTGAAAATGAAAAACATCGAGGTGCTATCAAAAAATTTCTTGTCACTCCACCTTTGAAACGCCCATGTATTGAAGATGAAGAAGACAAAAACGATTCAGAAAATGACAATACAGCCATTAGTCCAATTACAGTTGATGAATACAATGAAGAAATTGATATTCAGTTTGAAAAAGTTCAAGTTGACACACAGACACAGTTGAATCAAACTGAAGACGATCTTAATACAACAGAAGACAGTGCCAAAGTGAGAAGTCCACTTATAGCTAAAGAAGAGTCAGAAGGCCAAGCCCAAACATCAAACAGTGATGGATCATCCACAAGTACAGTTGTAATTAACATTAATGATGACCCGGCAAGTTGGCCATCGAATATAAATAGAAATATAAGAGATTATTTAACAATGAAAGGGCCTCCTGATATTCCAGTGAACAAGTTTCCACGAAATGAAAAGGGATTGTGTTTTTCTAAGTTTCACTGTAAGAGAAAACTTCCAAATGGGGAGTAAGTTGATAGACCTTGGATTATTTATTCTCAGTCTGCTGATAGAATTTATTGCTTTTATTGTAAGCTTTTTAGTATGAACAAAACCAGTGCATTATCACCAAGTGGATTCAACAACTGGTCTAATCTTCATACAAGGTTGTATGAGCATGAAAATTCTAAAAACCATTTGGAAGCCACATGGCAATTCTGGGAGTTATACCAAAGACATTATAGTGGACAGACTATTCACAAAGAACGTGAACTAACTATTAATAAACATGCAAAGTACTGGCAGCAAGTATTCAAAAGGCTAGTGGCAATAGTGCAGTTTCTTGCTGAGAGAAATCTAGCGTTAAGAGGGACAGAAGAAAAAGTTGGTAATGAGAGTGTACACAATGGAAACTTTTTAGGTTTAGTGGAGCTGTTTGCAAAGTTTGACTCTGTTCTTGAAGAACATTTACGTAAAGTCAAGGCCAACGAAATTCATAATCACTATTTAGGAAAAGATACTCAGAATGAACTACTAGACATTATGGCTACAGCTGTTTTGAATGAGATACTGAATCGCGTAAAAGCAGCTAAGTACTATGCCATAATTTTAGACTGCACACCTGACTTGAGCCACCAGGAGCAAATGTCTCTAACGATCAGGTATGTTTCTGATGGCAACTTGGCTCCTTCAGGTGTTTATGAACATTTCATACAGTTTATGCAGGTTGAAAGTAGCACAGGAGAAAATTTATATAAAACATTATTAAACACACTAGAGGAATTAAAATTGGATGTGAAAGACATTCGAGGCCAAGGTTATGACAACGGTAGCAATATGAAAGGTCACACATCGGGAGTACAAGCACGGCTGTTGCAGGATAATCCAAGAGCCTTCTTTGTACCCTGCGCATGTCACAATTATAACCTGTTACTAGGAGATGTAGCCAAGTGCTGTCCAGATGCTATAACATTTTTTGGGATCTTGCAAAGGATCTACATAATGTTCTCAGCATCAACAAAGAGGTGGGCAGTTTTTAAGAAACATGTACCTGGGTTATCAGTGAAACCCTTGAGCGACACAAGGTGGGAGTGTCGGATTGATAGTGTTAAAGCTATTCGTTATCAGGTTGGAGAAGTATATGATGCACTTGTGGAAACATCAGAGATAACAGATGAGCCCAAGGTAAAAGCAGAGACAGAAGGTTTAGCAAACCAGCTAAAAGACTATAAATTTTTAGTTTCTTTGATATTTTGGCATGATTTACTTTTTAAAGTTAACTATGTTAGCAAGGAACTACAAGGTAAAACAAAGGACATTGATGAAGGCATGGAGTCATTTGAAAAACTATTATCATGGCTAAGAAAATATAGAGAGAGTGGTTTTAATGATGTCCTAATAGGCGCAAATGATTTGGCTGAAGCTGTTGAATTACCACTAGAATTTAGGAAATTTCAAGATAAACGACTACAAAGAAGGAAGAGAATGTTTTCATATGAGGCAAAAGATCAAGCTTTCGATGATCCAAAAGAAGCATATAGAGTTCAGTGCTTTACCTTAGTGCTAGACAAAGCTATTCAATCTCTAGAATCTAGATTTATGCAGCTTAAAAGCCATATAAAATTATTTGGATTTTTAAATAACTTTCAGGGCTTACAAAAGGCAGAAATAAGGAAACACACAGTAGACCTTGAAGCAGCTTTAATTGACACCAAACTAAAACAGAACACTGATGTAGAGGTAGGCACTGTAACAAGTAAAGATGTAGATGGTTATCTGTTGGCTGAAGAACTTGAAGCTCTGAAAACTTTTCTGCCCACCAGTGTCGCCAAGCCCCAAGCCCTGTTTGAATACCTGGTAGTAAACAATCGATTCACTGCATTTCCTAATGTTTTTGTTGCTTTGAGAATTTACTTAACAATGCCCGTAACAGTCGCATCGGGTGAGAGAAGTTTTTCTAAACTAAAACTGATTAAAACATACTTACGGTCAACAATTTCACAAGAAAGACTAAACAATTTGGCGATGCTATCTATAGAAAGTGACATTACCAAAACCCTTGACTTTAAAATGATTTTGAAAGATTTTGCAAATAAAAAAGCCAGAAAAGTGTGTTTCTAAAAGGTCCGTGCATAAACAGTTTGTCTGTAATTGTCTTAACTTGTAATAAAAAATCAAAACTTTTATACTGTTTTTAAACTTTTAGTATATCAAGTAATTAATGCTTTTTGGCTAAGGCGGGCATACTACACGAAATATAAAACATCAATCTTCGACTTTGTAGAGTAGAGGGCCCCACTATCAATTTTCTAATTGGGCCCCGCAATTCCTAGCACCGGCCTAGCTTGTGGTTATACTCGACCAGGGGACTTTTGTTATACTCGATCAAGGGAATTTGTTATACTCGACCAGGGGACTTTGTTATACTCGATAAAGAGGGACTTTGTTATACTCGATCAGGGGACTTCCATTATACTCGATTAAGGGCCTTTGTTATACTCGATCAAGGGCCTTTGTCATACTCGATCAGAGAGGACTTTGTTGGGCAGCTCGATGAGGGTCTTTGTTATAGTCGATGAGGCCTTTTTATACTCAATCATGGGCCTTTGTTATACTCTCAACCAGGGACTTTTGTCATGTATTTTCGATCCAGAATTTGTTATACTCGACCAAGGGATTTTTTGCTTTACTTATACTCGATCAGAAATTTGTTATACTTCGACCAGGGACTTTGTTATACTCGATAAGGAGGGACTTTGTTATACTCGATCAGGGGACTTTGTTATACTCGATCAGGGGCCTTTGTTATACTCGATCAAGGGCCTTTGTCATAATCGATCGAGGGAACTTTGTTATACTTGATCAGGGGAATTTGTTATACTTTCGATGATTGGGCTTTGTTATACTCGATCCAGGGGCATTTATTATATTCGACACAGGACTTTCTTACTATCGATCAGGGGATTTTTGTTATACTCGATCACCAAGGACTTTGTTTATACTCGATTAGGGGACTTTTGTTTTACTGAATCTGAGGGACTTTTTATATTCGATCAGGGGACTTTGTTATACTTGATGAGGCTTTGTAATACTTTCGATCAGAGGACTTTGTATACTCTATCAAGGGCATTTATTTATACTCGATAAGGGCCTTTGTTATACTCGATCCAATGACCTTTGCTATACTCGATAGGGGACTTTGTTTTATTCGATCTGGGGTCTTTTATATTCGATCAGGGGACTTTATTATAATCGATCAAGGGCCTTTGTTATATACTCGATCGGGGACTTTGTTATACTCGATCGAGAGACTTTGTTATACTTGATCAGGGGACTTTGTTGCATACTCTATGAGGTTCTTTATTATACTCGATCAGGGTACATAACTATACTCGACCAGGAACTTTGTTATACCGCGATGAGGGGGGATATGTTATACTCGATCGCTGGGATGTGTTATACTCAACCGGGGGCGTTTGTTATTCTCGACCATGGGATTTTTGTTGTACTCGATCGTGGGACTTTGTTATACTCGATCAGGGGCCTTTATTATACTCAATCAAGGGCCTTTGTTACATACTTCGATCACGCGGGACTTTGTTATACTGCGACCAGGGGACTTTGTTATATGATCTGAGGACTTTGTTATTCTCGATCAGGGGACTTTGTTATTTTCGACCAGGGACTTTATTATACTCGATTAGGGGGCTTTGTTATATTCGATCGGGGACATTACTATACTCGACCAAGAACTTTGTTATATACACACGATCAGGGGATATATTATACTCGATCAGGATGTTATTCTCGATGAGCCTTTGTTATACTCGATCATATGGGACTTTGTTATACTCAGTCAGGGGACTTTGTTATTCTCGTTCAGGGGCTTTGTTTTCCTCGATCAAGGGACTTTGTTATACTCCATCAGGGTCTTTGTTATACTCAATCAGGGGCCTTTGTTATATTCGACCAGGGGACTTTGTTGCGCTACTCGATCAGGGGACTTTATTCATAAAAGTTTTTAGGGACTTTGTAATATTCGATTAGGGGGCCTTTGTTATACTCGACTCAGGGCCTTACGTTATGCTCGATAAGGGACTTTGTTATACTCGATCAAGGGGAATTTGTTATACTCGACCAGGGTTCTTTCTTATGCTCGACCAGTGGCCTTTGTTATAATCGATCAGGGGGCTTTGTTATATTCGGTAGGGGACTTTGTTATACTCGATAGGGGGCATTTGTTATATTCGATCAAGGGCCTTTGCTATACTCGATCAGGGGATTTTGTTATACTAGATGAGAGACTTTGTTATACTCGATCAAGGGGCTTTGTTATACTCGTCGAGGGGCCTTTGTTATGCTCGATCAGAGGACTTTTGTTACATACTAGATCAGGGGACTTTGTTATACTCGATCAGGGCATTTATTATAATCGACCAGGGGACTTTGTTGCATACTCGATTAGGGAATTTTGTTATACTCGATAAAGGGGAGAAACGATATACCCGATGAGGGGGCTTTGTTATATTCGATTAGCAGGAACTTTGTTATACTCGAAGAGGGCATTTGTTATATAGTCAAAGGGCCTTACATTTATACTCGATCAAGGGATTTGTTATGCTCGATAAGTGGACTTTGTTATATTCGATCAGAGGAATTTGTTATTCTCGATCAGGGGCCTTGGTTATACTCGACCAGGGGACTTTGTTATACTCGACCAGGGGACATTGTTATACTCGATCAGGGGCATTTATTATATTCGACCAGGGGACTTTGTTATACTCGATTAGGGGATTTTGTTATACTCGATGAGGGGGCTTTGATATACCCGATCAGGGGGCTTTGTTATATTCGACGAGGGGCCTTTGTTATACTCGATCAGGGGATGTGTTATACTCGATCAAGGGACTTTGTTATACTCGATTAGGTGACTTTGTTATACTCGACCATGGGACTTTGTTATACTCGATCTGAGGACTTTGTTATACTCGATCAGGGGACTTTGTTATACTCGACCAGGGGACTTTGTTATACTCGACCAGGGGACTTTGTTTTACTCGATCAGGGGACTTTTTTATATTCGATCAGGGTTTTTGTTATACTCGATTAGGGGCCTTTATTATACTCGATCAAGGGCCTTTGTTTTTTCTCGATCAGGGGACTTTGTTATACTCGATCAGAGGACTTTGTTATACTCGATTAGGGGACTTTGTTATACTCGACCAGGGGACTTTGTTATACCCGATCAGGGGACTTTGTTATACTCGATCAGGGGACATTACTGTACTCGATTAGGGGCCTTTGTTATACTCGATCAGGGGACTTTGATATACTCGATCAGGGGGCTTTATTATATTCGACCAGGGGCCTTTGTTATGCCCAATCAGGGTACTTTGTTATACTCGATCAGGGGCCTTTGTTATACTATATTAGAGGCTTTTGTTATACTCGAACCAGGGGAATTTGTTATATTCGATAAGGGGACTTTGTTATACTCGATGAGGGGCCTTTGTTATACTCGATCAGGGGACATTACTACACTCGACTCGGGAACTTTGTTATACTCGATCAGGGCCTTTATTATACTCGACATGGGGGGTTTGATAAACGCGATCAGGGGTCTTTCTTATACTCGATGAAGGGGCTCTTTATACTCGACCAGGGTGATTTGTTATGTTCGACCAGTGGCCTTTGTTATACTCGATCAAGGGGCTTTGTTATATTCGAATTGGGGACTTTGTTATATTCGACCAGGGGCCTTTGTTATGGTCAGCCAGGGGACTTTGTTATACTCGATGAGGGGACTTTGTTATACTCGATCAGGGGGGCTTTGTTTTCCTCGACTAGTGGACTTTGTTATACTCGATCAGGGGACTTTGTTATACTTGATCAGGGGACTTTGTAGTATTCGATCCGGGGGGCTTTGTTATACTCGATGAGGGGATATGTTATACTCGATCAGGGGATGTGTTATACTCGACCAGGACTGATTTACTCGATGGGGACTTTTTATATTCGATAAGGGGACTTTGTTATATAAGTGGGAGGCTTTGTTATACTCAACCGGGGGCCTTTGTTATACTCGATCGGGGAATTTGTTGTATACTCGATTTGGGGACTTTGTTATACTGGATCAGAGGCTTTGTTTTCCTCGAATAGGGGTTTGTTTATATACATCAGGGCCTTTGTTGCATACTCGATCGGGGACTTTCGGCTGGACTTCACGTCAGGGGGCTTTCTTTTCTCGATTGGGGACTTTGTTATACTCCATCAGGGACTTTGTTATGCTCCATGAGGAGCCTTTGTTATACTCGACGAGGACTTTGTTATACTCGATCAGGGGACTTTGTTATACTTGATCAGGGACTTTGTATTATTCGATGAGGGGGGATTTGTTATGCTCGACGAGGGGCATTTGTTATGCTCGATAAGGCGACTTTGTTATATTCGATCCAGGGGACTTTGTTATTTTCGATCAGAACCTTGGTTATATACTCGACCAGGGACTTTGTTACACTTTCGTGAGGGACTTTGTTATACTCGACCAGGGACTTTTGTTATACTCGACCAGGGGACTTTTGTTATACTCGATCAGGGGAATTTGTAATACTCGTCCAGGGGACTTTGTTATACTCGATAAAGGAGTTTTGTTATACTACGATCAGGGATTTTGTTATACTTTCGATCCAGGGCTTTTTTATTACTTTTCGATCAAGGGCCTTTGTCATAATCGAACAGGGACTTTTAGACTCGATGAGGGCCTTTGTTATACTCGATGAGGGGCCTTTGTTTTACTCAATCATGGGCCATTGTTATATACTCAACCAGGTACTTTGTTACACTTCGATAAGGGGAATTTG